TGACAGTTCTGCCGGGCAAAAATATTAAGAAAAAATGAAAAGTATAACTGATAGCTACCTCTTTTCGTTCCTTGTGATGCGCTGTTAGCTTACAATGCATGCCTTTACAAGGGCCTTCTGTTGAAAAATTGTCGGAAAGCATTTTTCAATGACCTACTTCTTTGTGTTTGCACCCACAAGCTCAAATTGGCATTCAATTTTGAAACAGTCGTCTGTGAAATGCTCGTTGTACACATACACATTTTGGGGTTTTTTTGGCATGAATCTCTCATCCCGACGTAGCTGTTCGAACCACTTCTTTGGCAATTTTTTGTTCTTTGCAGGCAAATTAAGGAAAGTCACTCTGCTTTCCCTATCCTTTTTGGTTCAGGTTTTTCAGCTCAGGGCCCAACATTTTAGCTCACAACTGAATAAACGAATTTAGAACAGAAAAGGAGAGCTTTAGCCTTTGAGCTTCACGCCAATTCGGACTGAATGATGTCACAGATATGCAGCCTGGCCTTCAAGATCCTTTCAAAATGGCGCTCCCAGTGTCGAACTTTTCTCGTCTTTTTCATTGGGATCGCATCCACTTCAGAAGCTAAAACAAGGGTGAGTAACTCAACTCAATCTGAACTTTTTATTGGTGATGGAAAAAAATACACGGTTTTTGGAGTGACCTTCTCCTTTAACAATGCAAAGATTTCTTGCCCTCTCCAGGTTTTTATACTCTGGGGGTTGGCAGGTATGCATCAATGTCTTCACTAGTGAGAATATGGAAAATATGCCACCCGAGTTGCAGATGTAGTTTCATGTCAATTTTATGAGTAGTGTATCTTCCAGTATGTTTAGTCTAAAAGAATGGATCATCATCCGCACTGTAAAGAGCTTTCAAGAGCTGATTTTCTTTTGTTGCAGTCCTCTGCAGTGTGTGACTTTTCTAAATTAGACTTTTTTAAATTTGTTTACATCATAATGCTAAATCTCAGCATTTATACATCTATATGTATCAGAAACTGGAATGTTAGTGGTAAATCTTACTTTAATTTGAATGGACAACCTACTAGAAATTTAATTAAAAGTATTTTGGCTTTCTTTATCGTTAGTTACAGAGTTGCTAATTCTGAGAAGGTAACTGGGTCGGCTACATTTAGAATTCATTCCATACTTAACTAGTAGTAACTTTGACTGCTGTAAGTGCTGTTTAAATAGAATTGTGGGCAAATACATGTAACAGTTAATAGTTCAGGCCTCCTGTTGTCGTCTTTGTTCAAATTCTCTGACATAACTTGACACAACTCCAGAGGTTGTTAAGACTGTTTATGAAATTTGATTTCACAAAGACCCACTTTTCGAGATTGCTTTTTAAGTCACTCCAATGCCATTTGCTACGATACAAATTAAACATAGACAGTTAATACAATGCTAAAGGGAAATCTGGCAATACAAAGTCTTTCATCGACACTTACACATTTGTGGATCCTCGTTGGTACTTAATACTTCTTTCATAATCTTCTTGATATTATAACAACCTCAATACAACTCTGCTCCACTACAATCCATCAAATTTCAAAATGTCCATTCAATTTCCCACTAGGCCATCCTGCAAAGAAGTATGGGTATCTGGGAAGACCCAGGTCCCTAGACTAGGGGCCAGGCCTTAGCAAATCTAACACCTCCATTCTCTTCCTTTAGATGATGCAACATGCATGGACAGGATATGTTAACCATGCTTGGGGTAGTAATGAATTACGACCAATTAGCAAATCAGGACACTCAGCCTCAATATTTGGGGCGTCATCATCTGGTGCTACAATAGTTGATGCTTTGGACACCCTTTACATTATGGACATGAAGGAAGAGTTTGAACGTGCTAGGAAATGGGTAGCTATGTCTCTTAGCTTCAATCATGTGAGTATCATCTACTTCAGAAACAAAATCACACTGTTTCTATATTAGTGGAACTAGACTGCTTCAACCATTTTGCTGTAATATTGGGGATGGGGGAAGGTGCACTTACTCATTGTTTAGCATGATAGACTCTGGATCAAGTAGTCTGGATTCAGTCCCTGGCCAGAGTCACCTGTGTTTTGTTCTTGGCCAAGACATTTTACTCATTCAGTTTGAGTAAAATATGCTCAAGTATATAAATGAGCACTACTAAGTTTATTTTACAGAGGGGTTAAAACCTTGCGATAGACTAGCATCCCAACCAGGGGAAGCAAACATACTGCTAGCTACTTCATGGTGCTGAAATCAGGACAAGACACTTCAGCCTGATGAGGATTTTATTTCAAGCTTAAAAGCAGGAGAGTTATGCATGAGATCTGATTAGATTTCATTGAACCGGTTTGGTGAAAAAAATAACAAGAGAGTTTCTCCCAGAACTTACCCAGTTGTTGTGCTTACTTTTCATAGGCATCAGATGTATCTGTATTTGAAACTACAATTCGATTTCTTGGTGGACTCCTGTCAGCCTATGCATTCAGTGGAGAGGAGGTTAGCATAATTATCATAATGAAATATCAGTGCCTGACATTATGTAACAAGCTGATATCTCTTTTTGTATGTACAGTATGTATCTCTTAAAATTCAAAGAGTTCTAGCATAGACTTGTAATTGATTCCTCTGTCCCAACATGGAAGTTTAAATTTGCTGTAGGATGATTTTTTTGCATTCATACTACATATAACCACGTGGTAATGTTTTTTGACTGTTGACTGATCATTAATGGCATAAATAAATGTTAGTGATTTCTTGAGTATACTTCTTAGAACAGTATTGCTGGAGACTAACTGAATGGCAGAGTAATAACCAACATTTTTTGCGAGCGTGTGGATATCAGCATCGAGTTGTTAGCATATGGGAGTTTTTAGTGTAGAGTGCACTATTGGGATGGTTTAGGGGTCTGCTGTTCGCTAAGGCACTAACGCCATATGCACTAACACCATAAGGTGTAAACTTAAATGTTTGTTTAATCAATTAATTTCAATTAATCAATTTGCCTTGTGGGAAGGGAGCTGAGTAGGGTAGGTACCCCAGTGCATTACGCAAAACGTGTCATACTTACGTTGCTTTCTTCGATAACATGACTAAAATATATATATGGTTTTGCAAATCTCATGCTATCCTTGTGGTGCCATTCTCTTAAGAACAAAAGCAATTTGCTCCAAACGTATGCGCAGATTAGTTAGCGTCAAAGGCGACTATATGTTAGGTGAAAGATACATTTCATACGGGACTATCCACGAATGTTCTGTGCTTTTCCTTGTGGTAGAACATAAAATGTAAGATGCATGCATTCTACATTGCTAGTATGATAAACTCTGTTCTCGAGTTCAGATGACCACTTTTTAAATTTTTTATAATATGTGATATCACACTCTCGTTTTGGCTGGGGATAGCGGTTGTATTTCAGGTAACTTCAGTTCTCCTTTTTTAGTACAAAGAATGCTACTCTGACTGCGTATCTTTTGGAATCTTCCCTACCTTGATTCAAGAAATGTCGTCTGCTGTTTTATAACTATTGTGTGTTTGCCAGGGTTGAAATAGAGAATGGGAACATATTGCTTCACCTTAGCAGCTTGTTTGTTTCCCCTTCTATGAAAGAGAGCCCAAAGTTCATATTCAGCCGATACTTTCCCACCTTAGTTACATGTAAAACAAGTAAATTTCGGACAAGAGAAACTTCGTTACTATTGCCGCATACTCCTTGGCACTTACTGAAACCTCCAATTAATTTCATCAGTCGCCGGTGAGGTGACTCACTCACCGATGTGGGATATCTCTACCTTCAATAATCATTGGAACACTCCTCAGTTGTATTACTCGATAGCATAGGATATTAGTTTGATGTGATTTTATTGTTTACACCAACTCGGCTGGCAACAGAATTAGAACGCACTATTCCATGATTCGATGTGACTATTTGATGATTAAATTAGTTCTTGTTTATTGGTGAAATGAAAATTTACGTTTTGAATAAAACAAAATCGTTCCTCTTTGACTTTTCAGCAGATATTTAACTTTTATATCCCATTTATCTCTAGCAGTGAGTTAAAAAAAGTGCACCTCTTNTTTGAATAAAACAAAATCGTTCCTCTTTGACTTTTCAGCAGATATTTAACTTTTATATCCCATTTATCTCTAGCAGTGAGTTAAAAAAAGTGCACCTCTTTCTTATATTTTCGTGGAAACAAAAGTATCTTGTTGCATACATTGGCGAGGAAAACAAAATTATCAAATTACAAACGTTGGCGTGAAAAGTAATGCTACAAAATGAACGAAACTCAAGATTAAATAGCACAACGGTAATTGTAAGTTATTTTTGGGCAAAATACAAACATGAAACACACACACTGCTAAGATTATGTCTTATCAAGTTTTTGTCGGCTCATACTCTGCAAAGGGGAAAAGGCCTAGTTGACTACCAAGGGAGAGAACAGCAGGGGTGAGGACCTATGTGACTAATGCATCAGAGCCGTAAATTACACTCTGCACTATCTGAGATTGTCTCACTAGTTTCGTTTGTTACCTTGTTAACAGGAAACCCTTAAAGACACAAATGAAATCTGAATCATCGTGGTTTCTTAAGCTCCCTATTTATATAGTGACTACAGCAATCACTTTTTGTTGATTTGGTCATTAGGTATTTAAGGTCAAAGCCAAGGAAGTTGGTGACAAACTCCTTCCAGCATTCAACTCACCAACAGGAATACCATGGGCCATGGTCAATTTTGCCAGGTAGGATTCAACTGTGATGCAGTTATCAAAATTACTCTCATAATGTAGTGTTTCTTTTAGAGCCAGAGGCTATTAGAAAATCTTTGCCAGATAATGGATTGCTGTTCTCCTTTTCAGCTACCTTTAAGGCACCTCCCCTCCAATAATGCAACTGGCTTAGAGTTTAAAAGGTGGGGGCAAGTGAAAACTGAAACCTGCAGGTCCAATGGGCAAGTGTATTTCAGAGTTGTTCTGTTGCCCTGATAGATGTGTGTCACATGGGTTTCATTAGGGACCTTAAGCACCGACGACAATGAGCCCAGAGGACGACGACCGGAAGTAAAATTTCCCCTTACCACGCTACTGCGCATGCTAAACTCGTTGTCCACGTGAAGTTTAGGAAGTCAAAACGTCACGTTTGCCGTCCTGAGCGAACGTGAGAAAGTGTTAATCTATTTGTGCCGTGTTTCAGGCAGAAAATGTAAATTAAACTATTGAAATGAAAGTTGGTTATTTATTTAACCTCTTGGCTTTGTATTAACTAGATTTTACGGCGAGTTTAGAGTAGAAATCGTTGGTAATAAGATTATTTTGGGTTTGTCGATTTGTCCGTTGTTGAATTTGCTTGTCAGTGAAAGTAGAAAATTAAATGAATTCAGAAATTGAAAAATGACTCTCTATTTCATTTTCCTCTGGTTCCTATCTACACGTAGGCTTTCGCTTATGTTTTTAGGATAGAATTTTATACCATGAAGGTCATTTTAGATTATATCGGGCCGAAAATTCGGCATCATTCATCTCTTCGAATGAAAATCTGCTATGAGAAATCGGGATTTTTCGACATCAATTCCTCATGTAGGACTGAAAATTTGTTGTCATCGATAGTACCGTTTTCGTAGCTCAAGAGAAACAGGTCTTGGAACTCGTGAAAGACATGACAAAATTTTTCGATAGTTTTAGGTCGATGTTTACAAGAACTTAATTCTGTTTACATGTACTCGCAATTGGTTTTCACACCGTGAATGATGTCCTTGACCCAGTCCTACACAGTTTTACTCGTCGTCATCGTCCCATTCGTCGTCGGTGCTTAAGGTCCCTATTAACTTTTGAAGTAGGAGGACACTCATAGATGAGTAAGCAGGAAGAATGGGACACTTGACCTGAACTTTTCTATGAATAATTTGAAAGTAGGCGAGTATGAACTCTTGTCTACCCTGGTACTGGTACCCGGGTCCGATCTTCTATTGATTATATGACTGTTTACCTGAACAAAGTTCTAAGATCTGGTTTTGAATCGTCTTCTCATTGTGCTTACCCTAGTGGCAGTGGACATAACTGGGGGTGGGCATCTGGTGGATGTTCCATTCTAGCAGAATTTGGAACTATGCACTTGGAGTTTGTTTATCTGTCAAAGATCACAGGAGACCCAATCTATGCTAAAAAGGTAAGCTGTGTGGGAAGCAAATGTACCATGAAGGTTAATAGTGAGATTAGAGTAGACTATTCGGTACATATAAACCTCTTCAGAAATTCTTGGAAGTCCCTGTTGTACTTTTTTAAGGTAATAATAATCATATCTTCTGACAAGTTAATGGAATAAACATGCGTTTTAAATGTAGTTCTTATGTCTTTGGCTGTTCTAAAAACGTCCCAAGTGGTTTATTTTGTGGACAAAATCATTAACGGACTTAACTTTTACTTTGTTATTTTGTTTTCTTGGCGCACTTGTAAACTAGCTGGTGCATCCTGTAGACTCTGCTTATTAAGTCTATAGGACGCCCCATTACCATAACTAAGTTTGCGACCAATTAAAATAAGCTATGTCTTTGTCCATGTCTAAACTAGAGGTTATTGTGAGTTTTTAGCATGTAGTTCATACCCAGGTAAGTTACAGTGTATGTATAGATAGTGACAGTAGACTGTAGTTTGTTCTATCTGGTCTAGGTGAACAGAGTGCGAGAAGTTCTGGATCAGATAGACAAGCCAAATGGATTGTATCCAAACTATTTAAATCCCAGAAGTGGGGTTTGGGGCTCACGTAAGTTCAATGTTTTCAGTTCTGCAGTCACTGTGATATTAATAGATAAATATGTTTTCACAAGAGCTGTTTGTTTTAAAGACATCCTGATTTAGCTGGTGTTCAACTGTCATTTTTGTGGCATGAATTGTCCAGAAATATTCTTAAATTGCATGTAGGTCCCCTGGACAGGATACTATTTCATCTCAGTTAACACAGAATTGTATGGCAAATAGTTACATATTTATTGACCAAGACATCACATGGGACTAAGGGCAGCAGAAAAGCCTGCTGTTGGAAATTGACCAGAATCTATAAGAAAAATGATAAATGACATATTTACCTAAACCTTCTCTGAAATCAATAGAGCATGTTTCCCTGGGTGCCCTTGGAGACAGTTTTTATGAGTACTTGATCAAGTCATGGGTTATGAGTGGACAAACAGACAATGTGGCCAGGAGGATGTATGACAAAGCTGTGGAGGTTTGTGTTAACTAGCCAGCATTACACTGTCTTGCCTGTGATATCAGAACAAAACCTGAAACAGAGACACATTTTTATGGAGTGCTTTACTTTGTATGTCTCATAACTAATCAGATATGAGATCACTGCATGTGTTCAGGAAGGACTGGATAATGCAAGACACTCAGGTCTAAGACCATTACTATGTTGTCTTACATGGCTTTAAATGTCTATGCTATGCTTTAGTTGAGGTCGTTGAGTACCTAGCATTAGGAAAACTACATGTACATGACCTGCCAGCTGTCCTATGGTGACCTAGCTGCAGCTGACCCTCTGAATTATGTGGTATTTTATTTGCCTGCAAAAACAGAAGAATTTGTTCCAATACTCCCTTAGGACTTCCCTGCCTCACAATGTGCCACCCTCCCTTCTTCCCTTTCTCCTTCCCTATGTCCTTCCTGCCATGTCTTCCTGGATCCTCTTACCCCTCCTCCCTCTTTTACTTTTCCATTTCCCCTTGAATGAATGAATGAATGAATGAATGAATGAATGAATGAATGAATGAATGAATGAATGAATGAATGAATGAATGAATGAATGAATGAATGAATGAAT